GCAAGCTGCATGTTACACCTTTTGAGAAAAAGAGCAGCGCAGTGGTTCTCATATGGAGTGCTCTCAGTTGCATGTCAAGAAACTCCTCACCTTTTGAGAAAAAGAGCAGCACAGTGGTTCTCATATGGAGTGCTGAGGAAAGGGCTCATATTTTATCTTTACTTGGTCAGGTGCCAGATAGGTTAACTGGGACAGATATATGGGAATGGGTTACAACAGAGTTGAACAAAGAAAGCTACACAAGCCACCATTTCAACCGGGATAGAACCTTGGTCTGATCCTTCTTTTGCAAGGTTGAACTCTCATGCCTTTGACCAACTGTATTACAATTGCTAACTTGTGATTTTTTGATAACCCAACAGCTATCAAATGAAATAACAGCCATTGATACCCTTATCAAAGAATCTAGTCAAGTCACATTTGATTCGATTCTACAAAAGATCAGGGCTCCACCTCAAATGTTTGAAAAGTTCACCCGCCGTGGAAGGTATGATAGCGGTTACAAGAGCATTATCAGATCCAATTGGGGAACAAAGAAATTCCCATATTATCAAATTGTTAAAGACATTCACTTAAAATTTAAACAACACTGGCATCTTGGACATTAGAAATCTGTTGTTTTGAATTACTGTTGTTTTCCCTAATTTAAAATGCTTGGTTTATCCAGCCCTATTTTTTTCTCTTTTGGTCTTCAGACGCTCACTGCCAAAACTGGCAACATGTCTCATAGGAGAAGCATTATGAGCACTGCCATTAATGATGTAAGTACAAAAAGCAAGATAGGATGTGTTACTAAACTCATGAAGTGTACAAGCAGAACAAGGCTCAGAAAGAGAGTACTATATGAGGTACGCGCAATGAATTACACTCTTGCAGCAAGGATAATGGCATATTACTGTTTGCCTCTCCAAGCAGACCAGTATAAACCCAAGCCTAACACAAGTCTCTGTGAGACAGAGAGACCCTGTGGGACTGCCCTCCATGCTCTCACTCAGAGCCTTGTGCTAGGCTCGGTATAAACCAGGATCTCTTGAGGCTCAGATATCAGAAGGAATCAACATCACTCAAGAAAAACCATATCCTGTAAGCCATGAAAACTCAACCAGATGACCTGAAAGTGTAGGAGACTGAAGCCCCCCGGGTTCAATCAAAGAAAGATCAGCACTATTGCCAGATTTTCTCCCCTCTCTCCTCTCTCATCACTTTCACACAAACTGCTACGTCACCCTAAGGTAATTTATTCAATCTCTATCTTTCAGATCCAATCTTGCAGTTACAACAGATTTATCTTACAAGAGAAACTCTATTTGTTCCTTCAGTTCTCACCAACAATCAAATCATGAACAACCATCTTCCTTGATCAAGCTTCTCCATTTTTATATTCTATACGGCTGGCCCAAATGACAAGAAATCAAATCGTGAACCACTGTTTCAGTGTGTGTAAGTCTTTTCTGAAGAGATTTGGGCATATTGGGTCTGGTTGCAATTGACTTTTTTTCAATATACAGACCACAAGAAAATATCCATTTGGAGATCAAAACTGATGAAAACAACAACATTCATATGAGCATCCATGGGACTACAAGCAATGATGGGATGGAGATTGAGGTGGTAAGTACAAATCAGAAACCATGTATTCATATAAAAATAAAAAAGCTGATAATTTGAACAAGGAAATCAGGGACTTATCAATCTGACTCATATGCAAACAATTTGTGGTACCAACCTAAGGGGACAGCAAGGCAGCAAGAATCAAGTGTATTTGGGGAACCAACAAGCCAACACTATTACTTGTGGTTTTCACATGATCCTGCTCCTGGAGGTTTTGTCCAATT